CCTAGAAAACCGATCTTTCGAATGCTTTCGGAAAACTGTTTTGCTTATGAAAACATAGGCTAAACTGTCCTCTTCTCATCGGTGAAAACCGCTGGTCTCTAGCTTTTATCATCTTTGAGTTAATGATCATACACTAATTAGTGTGTCTGGTGTGCAAAGAGTTAATGACTTTCCATAAACCTTTCGGTCTCTAAATCCAAAAAAAGAAAAACTGGCAGTTTGCAAAACCAATTAGTCTTACACTTGAAGTATCCTCTATCCGCTGATGACACTATTAAGTACAGCCATTTACTGTTTTTTGGGATCATTTTTTGAAAAAGAATGGTACAATAAACACCAGAATCACTCATATACATATTCCAGGATATACACATATATATCTATCTCTATATATATCTAATGCTGTTAGGATTTTAAGATTTCAGGATTTCAGAACTATGTACTATACATTACACACGCTTTGCACAGATATCATAACTAAGGACAAGTACGGTATATAATTTGACAGTCAAATCATAGAAAGCATATTTTATGTCGCAATCGTGCTACAGCATAAATCAGTACGGTACGAACATAAGAGTGTTAAAATTTAACTAGATCAGCACTTACCCAGTGGAAATAGTGTGGATAAGCAAGAAAGGAGCATTTCTTAGTCAGCTAATCATACTTTTCTGGTTCAAATAATAGAGGTAGCAAGGAAAGATACTCTGTTCTGCCTTCTAGTACAATCGCACTTCTTTTTTCCGTATTATCCGTGAGATTCGGAGGTTTTCCTATCTTCGCTTCCGCCAAGCCGATTCTGATAAAATTATACCAATCGATAGCATTTTCTACGCTGATTATGAATTTCACATTTACGTGTGACTAGAATATCGTAGTAGTGCGCTGGAGGAGCTGCACGCATTTTTCGGATTAATACAAAATTTAAATTACAACTAACAACAACATTGCGCCTTTTCTTTCATACGTATATATATCTAATGCTATTAGCATGCACTATACATTATATGTACATGTAATAGAAGAACATTTTCTTGTGGTTTTTCTTTCTTCTACTTTAGAAAATTTTATCCTTACTTGCTTGCGTGCTTTTATCTTTCCTTACATTAGGACTTCCACAAACAGCGACTTTCTTTTGTGTTTTCTTTTCTATTTTCTTTTCTTATTCACGTTATATATAGTGTGTACGAACATTATAGGCTTTATGCAGATACGACGTATATGTCCTTGTTTTTTTTTTTTATCTATCTGTCACGTTTGTATGTATACATCACCTGCATATAGTGATGGCACTCTATTCAGTTCCTTTTTATTGGGTTTGACAATTCTTTTTATCCCCTAGTGGAAACTTCTTGATGCAAGAAGCTGCAAGAAAGCAAGAAAAAAACTAGAAAGTGGTACACTTCTTGCATTCTTGGCTTAAGATCTTGTGCCAAGAAATGTAAGAAAACACTTCTTGCATTTCTTGATCCAAGATTTTGAGGCAAGAAAGCAAGACGTACCTTTCTTGCCTGCAATACGATTATTTCTTGTGTTTCTTGACGCAAGATTTCGTGGATCAAGGAATCTGATTGTATATTTTTTGGAACAAGAAATTAAATTTCTTGGATTTCTTGCAGCAAGATCTTGTCCCTAAGGAATGCAAAAAAAAGAAGTGACACTTTCTTGCCCAAGAAACGCAAGATCTTGGGACATTTCGTGGGGCAAGATCTTGGCCAAGAAATAAAAAAAAAACTTTCACTAGGGTCTATAGTTATTCGCTTAAGTGCAGAACACTGTTTTTTCCTTTGCAGATAGCTGATAACTACTAAGTGAATACACCTGATGTAAAGGAATAGAGCCAAACACCGGCCGAGCAGTGCCAACAAAAGCAAGATTAGGCAGATTGACAGGAAGGATCAACGGATAAAGAAATTTGACGTCGACCTAAATTCACGAACCAAACCTCGTCATTATTAGATATTCTGAGATCAGTGCAACCGTAAGCAAAACAGATTTTCATAAAACTAGCGATGGAATCAACGAGACATAGGGTAAAAGTCCTGTTTGGAAATGAAAATTACTTACCTCTTTCTCCAAGTTCTCATCTAAAAACGGATGAGAGCGTGTATATCCAGTGCATAATAGAATATGATCAATATGCACCGGTTTCTCATCACCCTCAAAGGTCACCAGCTTTTCCTTGATGCTCGCGATCACCCTCTTAGGTATAACCATTCCTTGTGCCACTCTACTGACCACCTCTCGGCTTTTACTGATAAAACCATGAAAAAGCCGACATCGAGGTTTCCATTCTATAATTCCTGTTCCACCTTCACTCCAAAAAGGTCGAATTAATAGTGACCATCCGATTCTAACCCATATATTGATCAGCATACGAGTTTAAATGAGCAAGTACTTGATCATGCTTTGGAAAATGAGGAATCTCTTTGGCCATCGGAAAGTCTGAGGGGTGTAGGAACGTTTTCGATGACGTAACATGTGTCGATTGATAGACACTACCTGGTGCGTCTTTGTAGAGCCATACTCCACCAAGATTCGGTTCACGTTCATAGAGTCGGGCATCCAGCTGTTCTTCCAACAGGTACTTCAAGCCATATATACCAGACCAACCTCCCCCGATAACAGCGAACTTCTTTTTTTCCATTTGTTATACTAGATGCAATACAGGCTGAAATCAATATGTACGTCTATATAATATGCACTTCATTCACCTTGAATACGTGTGGTGGATAGATGGAAGAAATGAGTCAGTCTGTTTTACCTGTCCTCATTGACTTCTGCATTTTACTTTCTGATTTGGTAAACACAATAAGGCCTTTCCGTACACTGTAAAGGTAATCAAAACATGAGAGGCGAAATAATTCCGTCCTTGCTGTCTATAAGTGATAATAAGAACAAAAGAAGAGAAATGTATTCTACAAAGTAATTTAAAATGGAAAGTCATATGTAAGGAGATACATTAACGATAGTTACCGGTCGATCAGAATTACAAAACACAATGCACGAATCCGAGAAATGAACAGTAGACGCTTTTCGTTAGTCAAAAGTTCAAGTATTCCCTATTAAAAAAATGTTCCTAGCATTTCGTTTGGCCGACAACTACGACGTGTCAACGGAGCACATTATCGTTTCATAATAAGCAGCTAAAGGAATTCAAATCATCTCTTCCATCAGAAGTACGATGCTCAAATTTAAAAATGATCTTTTTCGTATTCTATGCTACATCAGTTTCATAATTGAGGATAGCAAAATTAAGTTTCTAGTTAAAAAAAAGCATGTTCATTTCACCGATGGGCCGTTGGTGATTGAGACACATGTACAGTTTCAAAACGACTGATTTTGTACAATTGCCCAAAGTCTTTCTTCGACCCGAATTGTTTTAAGTTGATCAAATGGTATCGGGCTGAGTTTAGATAGTTCACTGTAGATTTCTTTTGAATAATATTTTTCTAGTTGAGAAGCAGCCTCTAAGGTCAGTGCTATTGAAAACCTCATCATCGAAATACGTATATAGTGAGCGAATGTGATACCACTTTGATTCTCTGATGCTGTACGTTTATCGTCACTAAATTTTTCATCCGCTGGTGCACAATGACAATATTGAATAAGGCGAGCTGTTGGTTCATCTAATGTTTTTCCTTCGACCAGAGACTGGGTAAAAATAGTTCGATGATTATTTTTCATATCTTCATGTAGATCCTAGAAAAAAATGATTTAACAAAATATCGAGAAAAACCAATCCAATTCACTTGTAAGTCATCGAGCAACTGTAAAGCAAACCCGATGTATTCTAAATAGGCCAGTTTAGCTCTTGTCATTTGACCTTCTACCAAAAATCCGGCTGCAATCAACGATGCACCTCC